AAACGATCGGTATACTTGTCGAAACCGCGACAAATACATCTTTTATTAGCCAAAATAATAAAGCTGATAGTAGAAATTCAAGGAACATCATATCGAGGAAATGGATCCTATCATGTAAGTGGAAAGACTATAACCATATAAAGGTGAATAAACAATTATGATTTTGTAACTATCTATTTTAAAACTTTTTTACTCTTCTTTTATTATCATTGATTCACCTTTGTATGGTTATGATTCCCTACATGATATTATTATTATTATTTTCACATGAGAGGATCCGGATCCTATATCCAGAGGGTACAAATTGCAAATAAATCCAATTAATGATAATTATTTTACAATATATTTTTCATCAAAATATCATAAAAAAATGAAGTAGTTTAATTTAATATTTTCGCAAAAAAATTTACCACAGCGGCAAAATATATATACAGTAAATCCAAAAATTATATTTTTAGAGAAAATCACAATTCAGAAAAGGAAAAATTAAAAATTTCATGTGCGTGGTCCACCCCTCACTTCTCCAATAATGATAATAATAAAATTATGGAAAAAATATAGGGGAATATTATATTTATAAACTTTTTGTTTATAAACTCTTACAAACTACACTATATCTGACTGATTATACTTATACACTAATCAAGAGTGTATGACCGGTCATACTTAGTGTAATTTGAAAAAAAAATTGTAAATAGATAATTTCATAGAAATATAATAATATAAATAATATGCATGTCTTTAAGTACCAATTTAACCATGTAATCTTGTTCAAGGTACATTAGGTTGCAAATAACTAAGACAACGTCAAAATGAGGCCAATGAGACTACACAGTACACATTGCATTAACAATTAATTTCAAAATATACAATCCATACCACTCCAAGAAAGCACAAATTTACATGGAAAAAAGTTGTTATTAGAGAAAATTTGGTTATCCTAATCAATTTAAGATTGAATTCTAAATGTATTTAATTATTAATCAACTAAGGATAACATTAACAAGATTTAAGATATAGTTAATAAATGATAAAGTTAACAAAATAAATCAATATTAATAGTTGATATCACTTCAAAATTAAACATTAAATTAAAGATGTAGCTAGAACTAAATTAATTTTTTTTCTGTTCATTTATAATATTAAAGATATAATATATAAAATTATTAATACATTGTGAATATAATAATTTAAACTTTTGGATTAGATTTATTTTTAAAATAACATCAATATGGTACCATTTTCAAAGACCTCATGTCCTGCCACTTTTTGACTGGAGTTCTCTATGAATTAACATTATATATTATAGGTAGTATATAGTTATAATTTTAAAAGTTATTTTTTTTCTTCTTACAGGCTATCGTTTGACAGAAAGAGAAAAACCAACATAAATATTATAACTATATATTATCTGTAGTATATAATATTAATTGGTTACACGAGAAATTTCTTCTCCTACATAAAAAGTTGGGTACCGTAAGTATAATTTGTCTTTAAGTTCTTTAAATAAACATCAAATGCTAAAATTGAAAATATAACCTAATCCTAATCTAAGTGGAAGATAAATGCTGAAATCCTATCTTATTTAGGATAACAGATAATAAATCCCATATAGGGTAATAAACTTTATGAATCATTCAAATATTTAAATAATAATCCTTGTGATGATTATGTTGGCGTGTTAAGCGTGTGGGCCATTGCCATGGGCCGTAGAATGTAGCGCTGGACCCGTACAATGTAATTGAGTAATAAATTGAAGAGTAAATATTCTTTTGGGTCCCTAACAAAAAGTACGGTTCCCACTTTAGTCCCTTACAAAAATAAATTAGTCAGTTAGTTTCTAACAAATTCAAAGTGGACACATTTTAGTCCTTTTGAGGGACTAATATGGGTCTTTTTTGAATTTGTGAGGACCACGATTTTAACTAAATGGGTTCACTTTGAATTTGTTAGGGACTAACTGACTAATTTATTTTTGTAAGGGACTAAAGTGAGGACCGTGTTTTTTTGTTAAGGACCAAAAATAGTATTTACTCTAAATTTAAAAAGAAAATACTGATATTAGATCACGTAAATAGATAACCGCAATTACTCAGATTAAGGGTGTACATGACAATTATTATATTCTCTTACATTATTTCGGAAAAGAAACAATTCTTTTCTATTTATGTGTTTTGGAACAATTTTTGAGAAAAAGAATGTATGTTCTATTTTTATTCCGAGAATGAGAATTACATTTGATAACACAGTAAATAATATAATAAAAAAATTCCTATTAAACATAAAAAAAAATTTGATCATTACTTTCCTTTCTATATGGTGGTGGTGACGGCAGAGGTAGCGGCGTGGTGGTTGTGGTGATGACAGCAGTGGCTTATGCGACGGAGGTGGTAATGATGACGATTGTAGTGGCATAGTGATGGTGGCAGCGACAGTGGTAGTGGTGATAGTGGCGTGGTGGTGGTGCGATGATGGTAGTGGTGATGACATGGTGGTTGTGGTGACGACATGGTGGTTGTGGTGACGGCAGTGGTTGCTGTGGTGGTGGTGGTGGTATAGTGGTGGTGGTCATGACAACAGTGGCTGTGACGATGGTGATGGTGGTAGTGACATGGTGGCGATGGTAATCGCAGTGGCTGCAACAGTGGTGGTGATGGTGACAGTGGTGATGTTAGTGGCTGCGGTGGTGGTGACGGTGATGGTGATGACATGTAGGTGGTGGTAATGGCAGTGCTGTAACGATGGTAGTGGTGGTTGGTGGCGGTGGTGGCGTAGTGGTGGTGGCAATGTTGGTGGTGATGGTGGCGGCAGTGGCTGCGATGATGGTTGTGGTGGTTGGTGGCGCCGGTGATGGTGATGGTGGTGGTGACGATGATGGTGGTAGCGGCGGTCGTGTCGGGATGATGTTGGAGGTGAAGATGATGGTAGAGGTGGAGAGTGATTCAGAGAGACAAGTGTTTCTTATTTTGTGCCCGGGAACAAAAAAAGTAGAAATTTTTTTATTCTTTTTTCTGTTTCCCAGCACAAAATTAAATCGGTTCATCTCGAGAATAAAAAAATAAACTGGTTTTACCAAATAAATTTTCTATCCATTTCTGTTCCTAAAAAAAAAAATTGATAAAAAAATTGATTCCGAAAAAATTATCACGCACGTCCTAAAATTTAAATTTCGAGCTGCAGTTTGCATATAATTCTCACTCGCATGCACGAGAACCGGATGCTTGGTTAATTCTATAATGCAGGATTTTATCCATTGAAAGAATCAAATTCACTCAAAATTGCGTAAATTAGACTTCTAAAGATAATCTCAAATAAAGGGAATACAAATATCATCTTGATTTATTATCTCATGTCATATACACAAAATATATAAGACTTATTCTGTTAAAAGGATAAAATAAAATAAATAAATATTAGCACAAAATATCATAAAGGTTCATCTCATAAATATAACTATTTTTTATGGTCGACTTGCTACACATGACAAAGACATTATTGATAAAAAGATGGCTTTTCCCGGATGCCAATCCTCCTCATTTAACCGGACTTGAGGTAGGCTATGAATGCACATTAAATAAGTTATTTTATTTTATTTTATTTTACACCCCTTTTATTTTTATATTTATATATTATTATTACTATTATTTTTATTTTTATTCTTTTATATATTTAATTTGGATTCATCTACCACCACTGAAGTTAGTTTGGGATAGAGGTGATGTTGATGTTAAAATAAATATTAGCACAACTTTTGATGTATGAGTAGAAAAAATATGTTATTTCATGTAATACGAGAAAAACATACCTCACAAATAATTTACTGCTAATCAAAAAACTTAAAAACTTAAGTCGTGAGATTCAAGGTAAGGAATAAGAGTTATATCTCATGAATAATGTTATGGGCAATTTCATAGGGATGGCTGGTGATGAAAACTATTAGAATGTAGAGTACCTGCTAATCTTTTAAATTTCGTCATGCATCTTTTCTATTAGACGCCCGTATGTTATTTCAGGGTATTCTCTGGGACTGCCCAGATCCTAGAGAGAGTTGGGGCATTTTCGATTCTGGTCCTTATTTCGTAACAATGTGATTGGTCCTGTACTGGAAGAAATTGTTCAACAACTCACAATGAATCATCAGTTTTTCTAATGTTTGTCGTATTATACCTGTTGACAATTATTTTATTATGTACAATACACGGTGAAATTCATTTATTGATAATGTTATTTCTAGAAGTGACTCACAGAGACGCGTGGTACTGACGACTCTACACATACTAGTAATACTAAAGTTTTAAGATTGAATCAAATGTTATAAAACGTAAGTGCTTGATATATGCAAATGAACACAGACATTAAATCATTTATGATTCGATCCGCTCATCACATTCTTCTTTGTGGGGCAGAGGGAAAGATTTCACAACAGAAGATGGGAAGCTGAATTTGGAGTGGTATATTATATATGCATAAAAGCATCAATCTTATTTAGAACTTTTTTTTTGGATACACAAATCTTATTTAGAACTTTTGTTGGTTAACTGACCTATCTGCATTCGAAGGGAACGAAACATTTTTGTGACCTTTCGATTTAAAAAATCCCCTTTAACCATGAAAGCCGATGTTCTCAGCGAGAAAGCTACCTCAAGACAAAGGATTACTAGACATGTTTGCAAATCAAAACAATTCGTTTAGCTTTTCTAATAAATTCCTGTCAGCAAACCATATTCATCTTCAACCCCAACAAACTGTATTAAGCTATTTTCCATGAAAAGGACAGAAACAGATAGGAAGGTTAACCAAAGACAAAATCAATCTCAGAAAAGGTCAAAGATTAGATTACCAATAATCAACCACACTGATACACTTTCACATCTCTATGCATCTATATATAACCCAAACCTTCTAACAGGCTTTCCCACAAACCAAATTAAGCAAAACATCTTGTGCACATTTCTACTTCAAGCTTGAGGTTCCATTCTCCAAATCCTGAATATTTAGCCATGGCTTACCACAGTTTCTTTGTCATAACTCTCTTCATAGCTCTTTCCCTTTCAAGCATGGATTTTGGCCTAGCAGGTCGCCATCTTCTGCAAACGACTCAACCTGCTGTACCAAATTTGCCTACTTTGCCCAAACCAACATTACCACCATTGCCATCATTGCCAAATATGCCACAGGGGAATGTTCCCCCTTTGCCTACAATCCCAAATCTGCCACAACCATCAATACCAACCACACTCCCACCACTTCCAAGCATCCCTACAATATCATCAATCCCACAAGTCACCCTCCCTCCAATGCCAAACATACCCTCAATCCCAAATGTGTTTCCCTCCATCCCATTTTTCTCTCCACCCCCTGCATCCACAAGTCCTTGAGAATGCGTAGCATTTTCCAGTTTTCGAAGCTTATGTATTTGTCATATTTCCCCTTCTTTTTTTATTTCTTGTATTCTTATAGATGTAATTGTGATTTGTGTTGCCCAAATTTGATTTATATACATTAATTGCAGTTGTATTATGTTTTTGTTTCTTTTCCCGTGGTACTTTCTAGCAAGTAGGGGTGTAAATGGACTGGGCTTTGGCCATCCTGGCCCAAGGCTACGTCATAAAAAATTTAGCTTATCTGGCCTACTGGCCTATTAAAGGCTTTATTTGTCGGCCAAGTCCGGCCCATTTTAAAAAATAAGAAAGCCTGACATGGCCTACAGGCCTTGTAGGCCTCCCACTATATATACTAAGCAAAAAAAATAATTGTATAGAGCAAAGAAAGTTCCATTCATGCATGCACTAGTACTTCTTATAAGAAAAAATGACAAACAAGAAAGAGTCAGCATAATACTTCAGCTCTAGAATGTATATCATAGAGGAATAGAGTCAAAGAAATGGAAAAAATAAGAAAAATCCAATTACTGGATGTTGAAATAAAGTCTACAAGAGAATGTCATTCATCTAAAAATCTTTAAACCACCATCAAGACAAGGAAAAGAAGAGTATTATTGAAAGATCTTAATCATTAACATCATAATCCAGCAAGGTACCCATTGCTCCATGGTATCAAGCTGCAACAACATGTAAAATTTGGAGACATTAGACAAGTTTTCCTTTCATAAAATAAAATAGCACAAAAAGTAAGAGATATTGGTATTTGGTTCTTTGTGTCTTGCCACATAGAATAAATATTATTTTATTATTTTATTTTAATAAATTAAATAGGTCAGCCTACAAGGCTGTAGGCCGGACTTGACAAAATTGGCCTATGGTCTATTTATTAAAAAAACTTTTTTATAAGCCTAAGCCTACTCTACTTTTCTGAAAGGCCGAGTCTGGACTGGGTTCAATGTAGGCCGGGCTGGGTCAGCGTGGCCCATTTACACCCCTAGTAGCAAGGGTGTCCTATTCGTTGATGATGACATTTTAATATTTTAGACATTGATTCAGAAAGTTTGGCGTCGAGGAAATTCCGCTTAAGATAAAATTTAACCAAATTTCAGAGCTCTCTAGCATTACAATTAAAAAAAATAAATAAAAAAAGGGCAAACAAATTTATTTATTGTAATTTAATTAAATAATTACGCAAATATCACAGTTTGAAAAATATTTACGCATCTATTGTACACTGCGACGCCTCTTTTGGGCGTCACATGTGACGTCCCACTGGGGCGACTCTCATGAGAGGAAGACGCCCAAATGGGGCGTCTCTCATGAGGTGGTGACACGTGTCACTTGTTTTTCCAAAAAGAAATTTAATTTAATCATAAAACTTCTAAAGGCCATAACTTTTGACTCGAGTATCCAAATCAGGTAATTTTTTTTTGATTCCACATAACTTTTCGAGATCTACGCAATGACATCTTATTTGACATATTTAATTTCTCACAAACACAATTTTAATTTGCAAGAATTGTATTATAAGAGCGGTTAAACCCAGAAGCCTCTGAGTTCTGGATTTGTGATTTAATATAAAAAAATAAATAAAAATTTTGATTTGTGATTTAAATTTTTTTTATAATAATTTTCTTTATTATAACAAAATTTTGGTTTGTGATTTAAATTCAAAATAAAAAAATTACTATTAATAAGGAAAACAAAATAAAGTTTTGATTTGTGATTTAAACTAAAAAATCAATTTGAAAAATCTGTAGAAATAAAGAAAATAATTAAATAAATATTCTAAATTTCTAAGGAAGAAGGATATTATTTTTAAAATTAATGATTAATGCTACAAGCTTCTGGGTTATTATTCGTGGTATGAAATGAATGATGGCTTATGAATGTTTTTCAAAAATAAAATTATCTAAATTAGGCGTGATTTCCTCTTGATTGAAACCCAATTTAGACGTGATTGGTGATGTGTTAGGTTTTGACAAGTGTTGACACGTGTCACATTTTTAAACTCAGAAGCCTTTGAGTTTTGCGTTTGTAATTTAATACAAAAAATAAATTAAGATTTGATGTGTGATTTAAATTAAATTTTTATTTTTATTTTTATTATAAAAAATTTTGGTTTGTGATTTAAATTAAAAGTAACAATTATTATTAATAAGGAAAACAAAATAAAGGTTTGATTTGTGATTTAAACTCAAAAATCAATTTGAAAAATCTGTATTAATAAAGGAAATAATTTAATAAATATTCTAAATATCTAAGGAAGAAGGATTACCTGATTTAAATTTAAATTATGTTGGTGAGAAATAAATTATATCAAATGAGATGTCATTGCGTAGATCTCGAAAAGTTATGTGGAATCAAAAAAGAATTATATGATTTGGATACTCCAGTCAAAAGTTATGGCCTTTATAAGTTTTATGATTAAATTAATTTTTTTTTTGAAAAAACAAGTGACACCTGTCACCACCTCACGAGAGACGTCCCATTTAGCCGTCTTCCCTTCATGAGAGACGCCCCAGTGGGGTGTCACATGTGACGCCAAAAGAGACGTCACAGTGTGCAATAGATACGTAAATATTCTCCCAACTGTTATATTTACGTAATTATTTAATTAAATTACAATAAATAAATTTTTTTTTGCCTAAAAAAAGATATTGCAGAGCAAGAAACTTTTGATAATATCGGGTGCAACGATGATTCAAGGCCTTGGCTGCTAAATAATATGCAATCATAATTAGTTGCTGGGATTTAACTAGCTAGCATTCAGAATATCTCATTCAATAGAATCAAATACAAAATGTTACAACCTTAAAACGGAATACACTTTTAAGTAGTGTGCATGTGTTTGGTTGGTCAGTGCTCGTTGGCGGTGGCCATAGAGTAGCGACACAAAGGACACACATGACTAGTTTGCAGCCATTTCACAATACATTGTTGGTGAAACACGTGGTTGCAGGGCATTGCGGAGGCTGTCACGTCATCATCATTATCACCACTCACATCGAACTCTTCCATGCAGATAGTAAAATGCTCATTCTGTTTCATAATCTTGAATTTCTTTAGAGAATTGATGGCATTCTTGGATGCTGGATTCATTCTAAAATGTTGGAGGGAGTCTTCGATCACTGCACGCTCCATCACTTGATTCTCTTCATCTGACGGGACATCTATGACGATTTCCAGAAACAAAGGGAACAGGTATTCTGAACCGGGTGGTTTTATAAATCCAGGATCATAATCATAAAGTTGTTGAACCTGAGGTATGATCCTCTGTGAGATTTCACCAAGGCACTCGCTTGTAAAGTTCTGCAAGGACCATGGGCGTAGTAAAAGTAACCTTTGTAGTAAAACTTCATTACGTAAATCTTCATCTTCATTAGGTAAATCTTGATTACGTCTGATGAAGAAGCTCTTGCAGTTTATGTGTACAGTGGTTTCGAATAAGGTTGATTCGTTTATAACACGTAAATCAGTTGAGATGTATCGAAGGGTAGCAGTGTGTTAAGAGTAAAATTCTGGACAAGGGTTTAATGAAGATATACGTAATATTAGGATATTTCAACGGCAATTTCGAGCTCGCCGGCAACTCCAGAAGGAATACAACGAGGGAGAAGAGATAGTTTGTTACGACAAAATTGGATAAAATCCCTCCCTGTGGTCCCTACCCTATTATATAGCAACATAATACCTATTTCAATGCAACTATGTTTGGGCCTGATGCACCTTAAGTTTTATTATTAAAGGTCAGCTCTTACTATTATGGCCAGACCCCTACTATTTTCTAATGGGCCAAGTCTCAGCCCAAGAATAATGGCCATATGTTAATGCTTCAGCCACTTGTCATCATCACATACTCCTTAAGCCATTGAGGTGTCTTTCTCTCTCTCTTCTCCCTCAATCGCAGGACACGTTCGTCCTTGTCATCTTCGATCTGTCCTTCTTGCTGTTCTTTTTGGTTTGGCTGGCTCTCCATAACTATGGGTGGGTTCCTATCATTTCCCTTCCCCCTTGAAGACGCGAGCTTGTCCTCAAGATCGAAACTTAGGAAGGCTTGATCAAACTCTGAGTAGGAGACCCAAGTCGCATCTTCCAATGGTAAGCCTTCCCACTGCACCAACAGTTGTAAAGTTTCCCCCTTTCCATGTTGCAACACTCTGGTCCGCAGTACAGCCACTGGTTTCGTGATGGGATGATTGTCCCAACTTGCATGTGGTAAGGGAGCCGAGTGAAAGACTGGGTTTTGACGGTATAGCTTGAGGATGGACACATGGAACACCGGATGTATCCTTGATTCTGTTGGAAGATCCAATCTGTAGGCGACTGGTCCCACACGCTCAGTGATGGTGAAAGGCCCATAGAAGCGGCGCCGGAGCTTGGAGAACGTTTGATTGCGGACTGAACGCTGACGGTATGGCTGCAATTTTACCGATACTTGGGTACCTACAGCAAATTGCACATCTCTCCTTTTTTTGTCTGCTTGGATCTTCATCCTTTGTCTGGTTCTGTGCAGGGTCTCTCGAAGCTGTCTGATCATGGCATCACGATGAGCCAACAACACATCAACAACCTCAATTTGGGATGTAGTCTCTTCGTACGGTGGTATGCTAGGGGGAGCCCTGCCATACACAATCTGAAAGGGAGAAGTCCCAATTGAAGAGTGATATACTGAATTGTAGGAAAATTCCGCCCAAGGTAAGTAATGCACCCACTGTTTTAGGGATTCCATGGTATAGCAACGTAAATACTGCTCAAGTCCTCTGTTTGTAACCTCAGTCTGCCAGTCTGTTTCAGGATGATTAGCTGTTCTGTAGCATAATTTTGTGCCACTCAATCTGGCTAATTCACCCCAAAATTTGCTCACGAAGATGCTGTCTCTATCGGATACAATTGAGCGAGGAATCCCATGCAAGCGACAAATGTTATCAACGAAAACTGATGCAACTTTTGTAGCTGTGAAGTTTGGGGGCAACGCGATGAAACGAGCGTATTTGGAAAGACGATCTACAACCACTAAGATGACTGTCTTTCCTTCTGAGATGGGAAGTCCAATGATAAAATCCATGGACAAGTCTTCCCAGATTGCAAGAGGTATTGACAGAGGTTGAAGGAGCCCCGCAGGAGACAGTGGTTGATATTTGGTCACTTGACAAATCGGACAGGTCCTCACAAATTCTTGGACATCTTTTTTTAAGTTGGACCAATAGTATATAGGAAGTATCCTCTGTAATGTTTTCTTCACTCCTCCATGGCCCCCAATTAACGATGAGTGAAATTCATGTAGGATCACAGTGCGCAACTCTGAATCCGAAGCTAGGGTGATCCTTCCCTTAAAGAGAATGATTCCATCCCTTAAGCTGTAATGTTCATACCCGGCTGTGTTTTGTGCAATCTTCTATTTCAATTGAATCAATTCTGCCAAATTCTGAACTTCTTTTTTTATTTGCTCAATCAGATTGTGGTTCACCGTGGTGAGTACCATTGTGCAAGCTGTTTTGGTGTCCTCTGATGGTTCAGCCTCTGTCTTTCGAGATAGTGCATCTGCCACCTTGTTCACTGCCCCAGGGAAGTACTCGATGGTGTAGTCAAAGCCCAATAATTTGACTAAAAAGCGTTGTTGCTCAGGGGTCTGGATAACCTGCCCCATCATATCCCGTAGGCTTTTCTGATCAGTTCTAATAGTGAAAGGCCCTCCCAGTAAATATTGCCTCCACTTAGCTACGCTCTCAGTGATGGCGAACATCTCTCTCACATAGGTAGATGCTTGTTGCATCTTCGGGTTGAGTTTCTTGCTGAAATAGGCTATCGGTCGATTCTCCTGACTTAATACTGCTCCTACTCCCACCCCTGAAGCATCTGTAGTTAATACAAACCTCTTAGTGAAGTCGGGTAGAGCTAAAATAGGTGGGTTGGACAGTGCTCCCTTTAATTCTGACATAGCTTGTTCAGCCCTGTCATTCCAGACAAAAGCACCCTTGTGCAATAAGGCAGTCAACGGGGCTGCTGTTTGGGAGAAACCGCGAACAAACTTGCGGTAATATCCAGCCAATCCGAGAAATTCACGTAGCTGTTTCAAATTAGAAGGCTTGCCCCAATCTTGGATAGCTTGAATCTTACCCACATCCGGTCTCACCCCTCGGGCATCCACTATGTGGCCTAAGTACTCCACCTCCCCTTGACCAAATGCACATTTGGATCTTTTGGCATACAATTGATTTTTTTTTAGACATTCCATAACCTTCCTTAGGTGTCCCACATGCTCCAGTAATGACTTACTATATATTAGTATGTCATCAAAAAATACTATAACAAATTTGCGCAAAAAGTCCTTCAGAATTGAGTTCATAATACCTTGAAAAGTTGCCGGGGCATTGGTGAGCCCAAAAGGCATCACTACAAACTCATAGTGCCCTTGATGAGTCCTAAATGCAGTTTTATAAACATCTTCAGGGGCCATTCTGATTTGGTGGTACCCTGAGCGCAAATCCATCTTGGAGAAGATGACTGAACCTGTTAATTCGTCTAACATCTCATGCACTGTGGGAATTGGAAACCGGTTTGGTATGGTGACTTGATTTAGAGCTCTGTAATCAACACAGAACCTCCAAGTCCCATCCTTCTTCTTGACCAATAGGGCTGGTGATGAAAAAGGACTCAAGCTAGGCCTGATGACACCAGTATCTAACATCTCCTTCACCATCTTCTCAATTTCAATTTTTTGAAAGTATGGATATCTGTATGGTCTAACGTTGACTGCTTTGGTTTCAGGTTCAAGGTGAATTCTGTGGTCCTCTAACCTCCTGGGTGGCAGCTGTATGGGAGTTGCAAACAGTTCCTCATAATCTTGTAATACTGGTTGTATCAATGAATGACAGCTTCTTTCCTTTAGTGGTTCCTGTGAATAACGGTGATCAATGGTTTGCATCTGAAAACAAGTAGCTACAACATCAGAGTTGGTGAGTCTACGAAGCTGATGTAGCTCTATTGGTTCCACTTGCAGGCGGCTCTCCCCTTGCAATTCGGCCCTCTCCCCTTCTCTTTCAAACCTTAGTATCAGCTGTTTATAATTAGTCGTCACATCCCCAAACTCAGATAACCATTGAACCCCTAGTACAATCTCGGCCCCTTGGATAGGAAGGACAAATAGGTCTGTCAGGAATTTATTTCCCTGTAATTCCAACTTAACCCTTTGACAAACCCCCTTGCATCCCAAACTGGCCCCATTACCCACTAGTACCTTAAACTGACTAATAGGTCTCACCTCCAGCCCAAGGAACTTAACCAGCCTCTCCTGCACAAAATTATGAGTGGACCCTCCATCCACCAAGACTTGAACCGGTTTCTTGTTGATGAGCCCCTTCAATCTCAAGGTGCTAGAAGAGTATTGTCCGTCCATTGCGTGTAAACTAATACCAGGTATTTCCTCCTCACCCCCAATTGTCTCATTCGTCGCTTCAAACACTTCTTCTGATAGTTTGCTACTGTGGTATTCTGTACTAACCTTCCCAATTCTCCCCTGAGATCTCTGTATTTAGAGGGACCAAACCGGGAGCGTAGTGCTACTACAAAGGCATCCCAAGTTGTCAGTCTCTGACTCCTCTCCATCCAATGAAACCAGTCTTCGGCCGACCCATCCATCTGGAAGGACGTCAGTGTAAGCTTGTCTCCATCATTCAGGTTGTGAAACCCATAAAATTGCTGAATCTTGTAGATCCATGGTTCTGGATTTCCTCTTGAAAACCTAGGCACTGTGAACACCGATTTGTACGCATCTTTTCCAAAGAAGGTATTCAATCCTGATTCATTGCTGCTTCCTCCTTTAAATTCTGCTTTATTTTTTTGGTTATGATCTAACTTGGCCTCCATTAGGGTCAATTTCAGATTCATGTTCTGGAGCAGCTCTCCAAAGGCACCAAACTGCTCATCGTGACGAGTAAGCTTGGCCATGCATTCTTCCATCATGTTAGTCTTCACTGTGGAACGAGTTCCTTCCGCCATTTCCTGAGGAAGTTTCTCTCAATGAAAGCACCAAATGTTAAGAGTAAAATTCTGGACAAGGGTTTAATGAAGATATACGTAATATTAGGATATTTCAACGGCAATTTCGAGCTCGCCGGCAACTCCAGAAGAAATACAACGAGGGAGAAGAGATAGTTTGTTACAACAAAATTAGATAAAATCCCTCCCTGTGGTCCCTACCCTATTATATAGCAACAGAATACCTATTTCAATGCAACTATGTTTATGCCTGATGCACCTTAAGTTTTATTATTAAAGGTCAGCTCTTACTATTATGGCCAGACCCCTACTATTTTCTAATGGGCCAAGTCTCAGCCCAAGAATAATGGCCATATGTTAATGCTTCAGCCACTTGTCATCATCACATACTCCTTAAGCCATTGAGGTGTCTTTCTCTCTCTCTTCTCCCTCAATCGCCACACGTTCGTCCTTGTCATCTTCGATCTGTCCTTCATGCTGTTCTTCTTGGTTCGGCTGGCTCTCCATAACTATGGGTGGGTTCCTATCACAGTGACTTTGAACCTGAAGAAATCTGTGTCTGTAATTTTCGATGGTTGATGCTGTTGGTGGCTTCTATTCAGGTGAAAGCCATGGCTTCTACTCACGTGAAAGCCAACTAGTCTTGGTTCTGTGAAAGCCATGACGATGATGAAAAAACAAAAACAAAAAGAAACGAGGAGAAAGGAGGACTGCGATTTTCTGGTGTGGTTCTTAACCGGTTGTGGGTTGTATTTATAGTCAAGACAGACCTTAAAATTGGAGAAAAATTAAGGAAAAAAATCTTCTTGATATTCCTGTTAAA